ATCAAATGCTTAATATACACTTCCTTCCCTCAGGCTTCCTGAGCATTAGCCAGGATTCAGAATTTGGAACTAATCCAGAGCCTGACTCTAGAGCCCTCTTGGGCCTTGGGCCTGTGACTGGGCGGGTAGACTACCTCTTCCTCCCCTTAGAAGAGAGGTTAGATTAAGTAGTTACTTAATATAAAAGTAATTAAGTAGTTACTTAGTTACCTCTGGAGTCCCTTAAACTAGGAAAACTCAGAGGTTACCAGAAGGCAAGTGTTTGCCTTACGTTCCCATATGACGCTTCCAGGCTGGTGGCGGCTTGTGTGTGAGTGTGGTCATATGTTTGTACTAGAAGACAGATTTATTTATCATTTTTGCATTCTTGGTTTCAGTATTTAAAATGTAATGAGTTAAAAAAAAGTCTTTCGGACTTCCCTGGTGGTCCGGTGGTTAAGACTCTGGGCTTCCACTGAAGGGGACATGGGTTTGATCCCAGATCAGAGAATTAAGATCCCGCATGCAATGCGGTGCAGCTAAAAAAAAAAAAAAAAAAAATTCTTTGGCTGATGGCGCTTTGATGAATATAAACTAGGCAGGCTGAGAATCGACCTAGAATGGAGAACTTCACTGTAATTCTGGCTGAGAACCACCGGGAGACCGATGTGGACCCACACACGCCCTTCCAGGGGGTCCTAGAGAGCGAACGGTTCAGGGCTTCATGAGAAACTCCGCATGTAGGTTTCTCCACCTGTACAATGGGTATTTATGTCAGTTGGCTCCTTGGATACTAAGCTCTTGCAGAAATGAATCACATTTAGAATGTTTCCATTGTCCCTTTAGAAAAGAACATGTGCTCGAGAACTGTTTTCCCAAGGTCTCTGTTCATGGCCTGTCCATAGGATCACGCTAATAATAACAGTAGACTTGAGCCAGGGATGCTGGCTGTTTTTCTGCAGAATTCATGGCATTTGTAAACATTGTTATCCTACTACTTCAGACCCTGGGTTGAATGTAAATCCTGAAGTCAAACGTGTAGGACCAACTGTGAGTGTGCATGCCTAGCTGGACCAGCAATGACGTGGACAACTATTTCTGACTTCCGACTAGAGGGTTCTTCTGTGGAAGTAGATCTGAGCGTGTGAGCTAATGTTTGGAATTTTCTGGATAATTCTGTTGATTTCTGCCCTCTTAGATGCTAGCAGACTCCTGTCACATGGGTCTACTCTAAAGAATGCCCATGAAGGCGATGGGCTTGTTGAGTCAAATGGCAGCCTCCCCAACCAAGGGACGTTGGCAGTGGACATGGTGAGGGCACAGTAGAGGGTCAATTCAATGCATATCTCTTGACCCAGACCAGCAGTGAGAGGGCACGTGGAGGCGAAGCTTTTCCTTCCTTGATCCTGAGTGGGAGTTATCTTAGCCTCAAGGCTACAGCTTTATGCAATATCATCATCTGCATATATAATATTTATCAAGGATCCACCACAGGCCAGGCCCAGAATGAAAGAAAAATCTATATAAGCCATGATTTCTGCCTCTGAGAAAATGACCTTTGAAAGGTAAAAGAGAGAATTTGAAAACACATACACATTGAATTTTTTCATGGGACAAGTCACGTTGCTCTTGAGTTTCTGTCTCATGGAAGATAATAAAAATGGGAGATAGTGAAGTTGACCCTCCTTCAGCATTTACTGGCACGAATAAAGAGCTCATTGTTCAGTGTTTTGAAAACATCCCTGAATGAAAACGTGATGGCATTAGCACACCTGACTGAAGGTTCTCTAGGGTTATTTTCTTGATTAACTTTAAGCCCTATGTCCTGGAACTTTCTTCCCCAAAGGCCTACCCTGGAACCTCTCCTGACCTTTTCTTTTATCAGGGGCCCTTTTCTGGAGTGTGTTCCATAAACACAGGCTCAGCTAGCTGCCTACAGGGCAGGGAAGATTTTACTGCCAGAGTGAAGGTCTGGGGAGTATTACCCTACGGAAAGGTGGGCAGGTGACAAGTCATGTTGGCCATTTCAGCCTGGGTCAACATCTCCACCCTAACTGTGTTTGACATACATCCTTCATGTGACTTTCTAACCATGAACTCAATTTTCTCCTGGCCCTACCTGGCTGAAGTCTGCTCTTTTAGCTCTCCTGGGCACAGAAGAGATGGGGCAATGCCTTTGCGTTACTTTCTGAGAGAACCATTGAGTGCCCATCAGATTATGCTCCAAGCAATTCTTTAAAGAAACCACAGGCTCCTGGGCACTTATTTCCAGAAATCTTCCTTACCTTTTTCCTTTCTTCCTGGACATTTTATTATCCATCCATATACATGCTCAATCTCTGCCATCACTCTCATAAAGTATGAAGCCCTTTTTTGCTAATTTGCCTCTGATCAAGAAAGATTGGTCCAAAAAATGGTCTCTTTAACTGAGTTGAATTCTCTTTCATTCAACAAATATTCATTGAGCATCTACTGCATTCTAGGCACTGTGGTGAGGATACAATAGAGAACAGGACCAGTAGAACTCCTGCCCTAAACGAATTCCCTGTCTAGTGAAGAGAAAAGAGACAGGAAAACAGGAGGTGATTGGTGATGGGTGATGTCTGAGCTGACATTTAAGGATACATAGGACTCAGGCAGGCAGAGCCTGGATGCATTGATTAGGGTTAGGACTGTTTACTAGCAAGGAAGCTACACAGCAATCCATGAGCATTTGAAGGTAGGATTTTATTTGCAAAAGATTGTATTAGGTAGGATTACATCTGATGGCAGGTAATAAAAAATTCAGGTTATATTGTTCTAACTATGTAAAAGTTTTCTTGTTCTCATTTAACACAAAGTCAGGGGCTAGGAAGCCCACAACTAGTATGATGTTGCCATGATGCCGTCAGGAATCCAGGCTCCTGATTTTCGATTAGCATTCATCCTCAAGTTTGTCACCTCATGGCCACAAGATGGCTGTTCAAAATCCGTCATCACATCCAAGTTCCATACGGAAAGAACCAGGCAGGAAGAGCAAAATGCAATGTACAAACTGAGACTCCCTCCTTTAAAGAGCTTTCTGGGATGCCTAACCCAGTCATTTCTTCTTATACCTCATTGGCTAGTATCATGTTACATGGCTGCTTATCTATAGGAGAGGCGAAGTGCATCACCACCATGAACAAAACCTGGGTGCTGTTCAAAAGAAGAAGAGCAGGGCTTCCCTGGTGGCGCAGTGGTTGAGAGTCCGCCTGCCGATGCAGGGGACGCGGGTTCGTGCCCTGGTCTGGGAGGATCCCACATGCTGCGGAGCGGCTGGGCCCGTGAGCCATGGCTGTTGGGCCTGCGCGTCCAGAGCCTGTGCTCCACAACGGGAGAGGCCACGGCAGTGAGAGGCCCACGTACCGCAAAAAAAAAAAAAAAAAAAAAAAAAAGGAAGAAGAGGAAATTAGATATTGGATAAGAGACCAGCAGTTTCTGCAAGAGCGACAGAAGCAACAACAAAAAACAATACCTTCATTTTTATATTGCATCATATATCCATTAATGCATCTTATCGTATGGAAATACAAGGAGGTGAAAGGCAGACATCCTTCTTTTTTCACAAAGACTTGGAGAAGCAATCTGACCTTACCAAGGTTATCAGAAATACAATCCAGTACACTCTGAAGCCCACAGTATGTGTTATATATGATATTGTTTATGAGTTATGCTCTATACAGTAGATCTTGGACATTCAAGAAGAGTATGTCCCAGGACTCTGAAACTCTATATTCAGGAAAAGACTGTAACATGCCACATCCCTAATAGAGCAGGAGGAAAGAAAGGTCAGGACCAGAATAGCAAAGCCTCTTGAAACTAGATGCTGAGCTAGCTGCCAGCTAGGCTCATCCACTATTACTAGTGGCTGTCAATAACAGCATTTATAACAATAGCTAACACTCATTGAGTCCTTTGTTCTTACAGGCATTATTTCATTCCACCTTCGTAACAACACTGTGAGTTAAGCATACTATCATTGTCTTTCCTCTACAGAGGAGGATATGGAAGTTCAGAGAGGTTAAGCAACATGCCCAGTGTCACACAGCTCATTCGTGGCAGAGCTAAGGTTCAGATTCAAGCCTGTTTGACTACAGCATCTAAATTCCAAACCTAATTTCCTTTTTACGGCTCTTCACTGGATCTGACTCACTCTTGCATACCAGACAAAGAGAATGGAATTCAAATTAGGACCTCAAAAAATTATAAATTAATAGATGCCATGCTTTCTCAAGGTTGCTTGTCTTCAGATCTAAAGTGTCGGAGTTAAATCTGTACATTCTCAGGGTCTACCGTAGTTAACTCTTTCAGCCCTGCCTTGGGTGAATGCAGATCTCTGATGCCAAATTCCCTCTGACTACACTGTTTATTGCACGTGGTCTCATCCCGGAGATTTTTGTCTGGTCTTCTTCCTGTGAAGTGGAGTTTGCTGTAATTGCTTGGTTGTCATTAATGTAACTATCCCTTTGAGCCATTTCTTTTTTTTTTTTAATCTTTATTGGACTATAACTGCTTTACAATGGTGCATTACTTTCTGCTTTATAACAAAGTGACTCAGTTATACATATATATATGTTCCCATATCTCTTCCCTCTCGCGTCTCCCTCCCTCCCACCCTCCCTATCCCACCCCTCTAGGTGGTCACAAAGCACCGAGCTGATCTCCCTGTGCTATGCGGCTGCTTCCCATTAGCTACCTATCTTACGTTTGGTAGTGTATATATGTCCATGCCACTGTCTCACTTTGTCACAACTTACCCTTCCCCCTCCCCATAGCCTCAAGTCCATTCTCTAGTAGGTCTGTGTCTTTATGCCCGTCTTACCCCTAGGTTCTTCATGACATTTTCTTTTTTCTTAGGTTCCATATATATGTGTTAGCATATGGTATTTGTCTTTCTCTTTCTGACGTACTTCACTCTGTATGACAGACTCTAGGTCCATCCACCTCACTACAACTAACTCAGTTTCGTTTCTTTTTATGGCTGAGTAATATTCCATTGTATATATGTGCCACATCTTCTTTATCCATTCATCCCTTTGAGCCATTTCTATTAAGGTTTAGGCCTTCAGTTAGCAAAATGGATTTTAATGTTCGTAAATATAACATGAGCTAGAAGGAGAGGAGTCTGGGGCTTCTGTGGCATTCCAGAGCTTAAGCGTGCAAAGTAGCCCTAGTGTTAAGATAGACAGTACAGTCTAGAATCACAGATCTCAGCGCTGGAAGAGATGTTATGGCCCAGCCTCTACAGAACCAGGTAGGTAAGGCATTATTAGCTCCATTTCAAAGGTGAGATGACTGAAGCTCAGAGCTTCAGTGAAATGCCCAGAATCCGACAGCTAGTACCAGAGCCTAATTCAGTTATTCAGGGGTTATGCAGGATGAATGGAGTGACTTGTTCTTACAGATCAGGAGCCTATATACACTGTTTGGACAGAACTTTATGTCTGTCTGTCAAGGCTCTTTATTAGTCTCAGAGAGAATGACAGCGCCTATTCTGACATAGGGACAGTTTGCAGCTTAACAAGGAAACCATCACTTCTCTCGCCTCTGACAGTGTAGTCAGGACAGCACCAGGTAAAATACCCTAAATGCATATTCTAAATATACGTGTATAAGTGGAGTTGGTTCATTTTAACATTCCTGTGTCACAGCATCCAAAGATTCACATTGAGCTCAGAGCTCCAAGCTGTGTTCCAGAAATGCTGATCTCCTCCAGTGTCTTCCTCCAACAAGCTGGAGGACAGCTTCTGAGTATTTGCTTATTCACACGGTGGGCTCTGAATATGCCATGTTCACGCCCTCTTCCAACACAGATTAGCTTCCCGCCCATCTGCTCCCAGCCAGTGATGTAGATGTACCAGCTGCTTCCCAAGAACCAGTCGGCATCCTGTAGGAGGGGCAGGTCCCTTTCCCAGGTCCCTTTCCCTGCTGCCTGCTCTCAGCCTCAGCCCTCTCGCCAACCACGGTGGGTCCCTCCGTTCTCACTTCTCCCCATCTGAGAATCAGAGCACACAAACCTCTTATGAGCCCATGATTTATCAGCACAGCTCCAGCTAAGGGCTCTAAGTCTGATTCTCTATGATCTACTGATTGTGGGAACATGGCAAGGGTTGTTTAAAGGGACTGGGCTGGGCTGGGCCCCTGCAGCTGACAGACAGAAGGTGGCTGGGGAAAAAGCTGCCCTCTAATCGGAAAATGAAGGCGCTTCTATTGCTGGTCCTGCCTTGGCTCAGCCCTGCCAACTACACTGACAATGTGGGCAACCTACACTTCCTGTACTCAGAACTGTGAGTCCCCCTCTCACCGTGCCTGCCTGTGTTTGTGTATTGGGTATGGTCGGGGGTGGGACCTGAGTCCGTTTCTTGGCTGGTATGTCGGTTTAGAGGAATAAATTCCACATGCACTGGATGCACTTGGACAAAACACACTGCCGGCAGTTTAAAGCAGCGTGCTTAGCTGTCTGTGACTTAACAAAAAAACCACCATCTTATTGATGCAGTGCTTTCCCAACAAGGCGTTTTTTTCCCTGCTTCTGTGCCAACACTGCTTTCTCTTTTTTGGTACTCTGCTTTTTCTCAATAGATGTGTCTTCTCTTCCTTCCATAAATAGAACCAAAGAACAGAGGCTGCATGCACAGATGTGCAGTCTCTATCAGGCATTTCTAGTTATGAGCAGATAGCATCCTTTTTTGAGACAGTCGGTCTCCATACCTGCAAACACAAAGAGTATCAGTACAGGGGCAAGATAGCCCTATAGGTAAAAAAAACCTCTACATCCATTTTGTTTTTATTTTTGATAATTTTTATACATGGGAAAGCAGAAAGAACGCTGCAGTGAACACCCATATTCATGTCACCTAGATTTAATGATTAACATTTTGTCACTTTTGCCTCATTTGTTTTATTTTTTTTTACAGAAGTGGTTTGGAGTAGATTGCAGTCATCATAACATTTTACCTCTAAATATTTCATTATGCATCTCTAAAAAAGAAAGACATTTTCCACCATGACCTATGTCCATTTTGTAAGGGGAAATGACTCATGTCTCCAACCTTTAGAGTGATATGTTTCTGGTTCTTTTTTGTTAATAAGCTTTGAAAGAGGATTGCAGACTGATGTGAACAGCTTCTAGCAATCAGGTGAAAGGTGCTGCTGTGTGTGCCTCAGTGTTTGCAGAACTTACAAAAATGTAGTTCTCCTTACTCACCAGACCGGTAAAAATAGCAAGAGTTGGCTTATGTATAAATCAGAGTCAGTGGGCAAATGAAGAAGACTCTATAAACAGAGTCCAAAGAGCCCAGACTAGAAAAGCTTGACTGGTCAGATTTAGATAGAGACCCCCACATGTTTAGATATAACCAGTGCCTCTGTTATAGTTAGACAGACTAACCAATTTGCCCAGCACAGTAGATGCTCAATAAATGCTCCATAAGTAGAGAAAAGAATGAATGACCTGGGTCTTTGGAGGCACGTCATTCATTTTGAGGACTCTTCATTTCAGGATTTCCTGGTCCTACCTTATTGGAATGTTACCCCAGTACACCTTGGATAAGAAGGTTCAAAGAGAAAGTACCTAGCTTAAGCCTGAATAGTGAGCATCTCCGGGGTGATGATGACATTGTGGAAGCTTTTCTAGAAAAATATACAATGGCAGAATTCATTGGGATGGTGAAAAGGCCCTTTCCTCTCTCTTGATGGATGCCGAAGGTACCTATGAAATCTAGTGCCCAAAAGCATTCCTCCCCACCCTTGTCACCGGCACCCCTCCACCTCCACCCCCAGCCCCCATCTGCTATCCTTGTTAGTTGCTGTATTCGTTTCCTAGGGCTGCTGTAACAAATTACATACACAAAACAACACAAATTTATTCTCTTACAGTTCTGGAGGCTAGAAGTTTGAAATCAAGGTGTCAATAGGGCCACACCCTGTGAAGGCTGTAGGGGAGAATCCTCCCTTGCCTCTTCCAGCTTCTGGTGGCTCCAGGCATTCCTTGGCTTGTGGCTGCATCCCTCCAGTCTCTGCCTCCGTCTTCACATGGCCTTCCACTGTGTGTGCTCTCTGATTCTACATCTTCTCTTCTTATAAGGATGCTTGTCACTGGATTTAGGGCCCACCTGGATAATCCAGGATGATCTCATCTTGAGAGCCTTAGCTTAATTGCATCTGTAAGACTCTTTATCCAAGTAGGGTCACATTCACAGGTTCTGGGTGGCATATCTTTTTGGGGCCACCATCCAACCCACGACAGGTGCTAATGAGGAGCCTTTCCATTGAGTTACTTTCTGTTTTATAGCCTAATTAAAGGAAGGCTCTTCATACTGGCTTACCGTTTTCTTTTCTGCACATGCGTGAATCAAAGGCAACTTTTCTGTTGAATAACTGAGCGAACGCAAGCTGCCCATTCTTTCTGAGACGTGAAGCAATCCAGGAAGCGTGACGCCAGAAAAGTGCAAAGACCATGTTCCCATACTGATTAGACAGAACTTTCTTGGAAGCTTCCAGTTGCTAGGGATGCTTTATAAGAGAATCCTGTGCGGCTGTTACCTGATGCTGCTGGTGGTCATGAACTAATTGGTGAATTCATGACACATTGCAGGTACTGTGGCAGGTGCTGGAAGGAATACAGGCAATAAAAAATTAGTCACACTACCCACCCTCTAGGAGCTGAGGATCTGATTGAGAAGACAACATTTATGCAGATAAGAAATATAAACAATGATCCAAGGCATAAGAGGGTACGTCTTTTAAGCAGTAGGGCAGGTAACCTGTTGAGAGGAGGTGGAGATTGTGCAGTTCGGTGAAATTGATCAGGGAAAGCTTGGGGAGAAGTTGGGGGTTTGAGTGGGATGTTGAAGTAATAAGGGAGGAATTAGGCAGAGTCAGAACTGGAGGGAGAAAGCAGTTTCAGGCAGGGTCAGTTGCACTGGTAAAAAGGGCTAGGAGTTGGCTAACCCTTTGGTTGGTCAGCAAAGGTTTGGAAAACAACTGAGAGCCGTGCGTGGTACTGTGGGTCTGCTCAGCATTCTCAGAGCGGGGGCCGTCGGGTGATGAGGTGCTACCGTAGGCCGCTGGGATCGTGAAGGTGGAGGGGACTCATTGGGAAGCGTGAGAAGCCAGGCTTCCCCCTGCCACCCTCGTCTGAGCTTTGGCATCCAGTGAGGCTGGCCCTGTGTCCCGAGCTTCCAGCCGCAGAGCTCCTCCTGGATTTTCCTTTCTCTCTGACACTAAGCCTCTCTCAGGCTGAGTCCTGTTCCCTCAGGGCCCCACTGGAAACCTGGAGCTAATGCAGTAAACGGATTCAAACTTAAGAGGTGGCAGCTAGAGGTCTCAAACTCAAATGCCTACAGGAACCAGGCAGGAGTTATCTGAACATGGGATTCATTCGCGTATAAGACCAGAGGAAGAGGTGAGGCCTCTGAACAACTGCTGAGAAAATACATGTATATATATAATGTCTAAAGGTATTTAAACCCCAAATAAAACAAAAACACCATGTCCAATCCAGCAGATCGCTTCTGCCTGGTTTGGCCTTGAGGGCCAAGAGTTTATGACCCTGGACAGCTGCTTCTTTAAACATTTCCGTGGACACCTGTTGCCATGACCCAGAGGAGAGTGAATTCCATGGAAGGAGCCTAAAACCAGAATATTTGGTGTAAAAGAGTCCCAGTCAGAGGTTAGGGGACAGGGAGCCTAGGACTACTCCTGGGGTCTATGAAAAACATGCCATAAGGATCAAGGGCAATGCTTTCTTCTACAAGCCCTCACCCGCCGGACTCCCACAAACTCTTTTTGAACTTCCTAGACCCCCAAGCAAATTTATGAAATAGACTTTGAGTCTCGTGGACCTGAGCACGGATCCAGCCTTCTCATCGTTCTGGGTCTGTTTACAGCCTCACGCGTGACAAGACTTACAGGTGAATGAAGTCCTTGGAACAGCGGGGGTTCTGAGGACCCCCCCCCCACAGAAGAACCGAGGTCCCTGTTTGTCTTTTAAAATGCAGATGTTTGGGCTCTAAATCAATTCGCTAAAACAAAAATCTTGGCAGGGGAGGGTGCATCCGTTTTCATGCTTAAGTTCCCCAGGTGATCCTTATGGAGCCCATCCTATTTTCATGCTTAACAAGCTCCCCACGTGATCCTTATGGAGCCCATCCTATTTTCATGCTTAACAAGCTCCCCACGTGATCCTTATGGAGCCCATCCTATTTTCATTCTTAACAAGCTCCCCAGGTGATCCTTATGGAGCCCATCCTATTTTCATTCTTAACAAGCTCCCCAGGTGATCCTTATGGGCACTATAATTTAAGAACCTTTAGCTCCAGTTCAGATGCAGACTCACTCTGACTTCTCCCCCATGGAAGATCATCTCTGTGCGTCTCCTCCGTGTCTCCTCTGCTGTATATCACCAGCAGCGTTCCTGTCCGTCTCCTCTGCCTGGTGAGTCCTTAGAAGGAGAGCTTTTTGAGAGATGTTAATTTCTGTACACCCAGCTTCTGCGCGGTATAAGCTTAAGTTGAACTAAATGAAACGGATTTGCCTCATGTCTTGGCTAATTCCTTGGCGAGCTGGCCTATCTCAGGTTTTGCAGGAAGCAGCACTGGGCATGAATAACTGACATGGCTGCTTCTGTGGTCAGTGATCTCCCCTGGCTTTTGTGACGTTTGTTTAAATATTTTGTTTAGCAAAAATCCCAGGGAAAAACCTTAGAGTTTGGTGGGGTGGTGAGATGCATTTTATGGTCCAGCCCCTACTCTCAAGAGCTATTGACAGAAAATTGAAAGTTTTGTCATCTTTCCTTAGCCTTTCACAACTCTAGCTCCTACAGCCCCTGCAAAGACTTCTTACTTTGTGTCCTATTTTGGTAGATGCTGTGTTCATGCCCATGGTGTAAAGTTTGAGTGAGTTCTGAGTAGGCATACAGTGAGTTGGAGCCCTGTTTCTCAAAGCAGGTAACTGTCCTTTGTTTTAGTAGATGAAGGTATCGATGAGACAGCTAGGTGTGGTCGCTGGGGGATGAGAGGTCCCTGAAACTGGTGCTATTGCTGTAGCTGTGTGGCTTCTCAGAAAGCCAGGGCATGCTGGCTCTCTTTCTAGCTTACAGTCAAATATTCTTGGTTGGGAACCGGCATCACTATGAACAGTATCCATGCCCGTATCTGGAGACAAAAATTACACTCTCTCCCCTGACTCCTGTAGAAACAGTAGCTCTAAGGCGGGAAGGTTTATTCCCCCTAGAGTTTTGTGCTCGGGAAATTAAAATGAACAACTCCAGTTTTGCAACTTGAAT